CAATTCTCCTGCCTCAGCCTCCTGAGTAGCTGGGATTACAGGCATGCACCACCATGCCCAGCTAATTTTTTGTATTTTTAGTAGAGATGGGGTTTCACCATGTTGACCAGTATGGTCTCGATCTCTTGACCTCGTGATCCACCCGCCTCGGCCTCCCAAAGTGCTGGGATTACAGGCTTGAGCCACTGCGCCCGGCTGGCCTATAATACTTAATAATTTTTTCTGGTGGCTACTTACTGTCTGTCTAATCCTCTATTTTTAGGTCTTTTTTTTTTTCTTTAGCGGAGTAGACTGGATACCTTAATGGCTTACTGGTCTTAACAGGTAATAGGAAGAAAGAGGGCTTAATGATGCGTATGACACAGTTTCCTGTCTACTTGTTAGGCAGTTGTATGTATGCTTTACGTCTACATGTTCAGTACAACTTAGGCGGGGCTGTCTAATCTTTCCGGTACTTACGATGATTCCAAGCATCCTGTAATTTTGGAAATTTTAGGAGGGGTTTTTTTGTATAATTTGAGCTTCACTAGGTTACTGTGCCCATGTTTTTATTATACAATTGCTGCCTTAAGCAGCTAAGCTTTCCTACTGGAATAGTGACGCTTGCTCCTTCTCTGGCTAAACAGTATTGTCTAATAATTGAAACCTTTAAAACCCAGAAACTGTTCGTTTGAACTCTTTGAACTGAGGTTAGGTCCGGGACAGGGTTAGAAGGTAATAACTTACAGGCTTTCTATGGCCAGCCATTTCCCATGGTTGTTCCTCTACATACATAGCAAGAAGTGACATTGAGGGAATGGGCTACATTTTTAGCCAGTTGGAGGAACAAGTTCTTCATCCTTTTTGGAAGCTCTGGTATTGGTTTATCCAATGTATTATAAAAGTGTTGGTACACTGGCTGGGCTGAGAGTTTCTGGACTTTTCCCCGAATTGGATACTAACTTTAGGGTTACGTCCTTTTCCATCAATTCCTAGCACTACACTTTCCCCTTTTTTCTATTTGGGGTTTTGGGGGTTCGTGATTATTAATTTTACTGGGTTGTAATGTCCTGAGATACAGGGAACATTACGTCCTGAAGTGGTGTTTTTCTTTTTCACAAGGCGAACAGGATCATTTTCATTATTTTTTTAAGTGGCTCAGGTGATACAGGACTAATAGGTGCAGTTATAGCACTAGTAGGTTTTTTGGCAGAGATATTTATGCTCTGTTACATAACTTTGTTCCCACCTGAGGGAACTACAGCCTCTGGCACTGGAAGGATAGGTATTGATGGCTGCACAGGCATTAAGCTTTTAGAGTGACTTGTTTTGGGCTTTCTTTCTTTTCTGTCCTGGCTATCAATTTAGTAGGGCTGTTTTATCACCCTGTTAGGAGTTTAGTTTTAAAAGTTGTATGTATAGGGGGCTCTGATGGGTTGTAACATACATTAAGCTGTCTATTCCTTGGTCTACATATTTTATACTGAGTACCATTGTATAAACACGTTTTCTTTTGTGTCCTTGTGCACTTATAATATCTGTAAAACAAAAGAATGGCAGTGACATTTCGCCTTACCTTTGTAACCTGGTGGACACATTGAGAGCACTTTTTAAAATTAGTTAATGTCTTTTTTTTTTTTTTTTTTTTTTGAGACGGAGTTTCACTCATGTTGCCCAGGCTAGAGTGCAATGGCGCGATCTCGGCTCACCGCAACCTCCGCCTTCTGGGTTCAGGCAATTCTCCTGCCTCAGCCTCCCGAGTAGCTGGGATTACAGGCATGCGCCACCATGCCCAGCTGATTTTTTGTATTTTTAGTAGAGACGGGGTTTCACCATGTTGACCAGGATGGTCTTGATCTCTTGACCTCGTGATCCACCCGCCTCAGCCTCCCAAAGTGCTGGGATTACAGGCTTGAGCCACCGTGCCCGGCAGTTAATGTCTTTACTGTACAAGTTCAAATATTAAGAACAGCAAGTTTTACGATGAATTTCCTTATGCTTCGGCTGTGTGTGGACCAGCCAGCTTTTGGGATGTGGCTGGAGCAGAGCTTGTTGTTCTTTTTAAGGTGATTCTGCAGTTTTTTGCCTTGGTTTAAGTTTTAGGTGTTGCTGGTTTTTACATGGCTGTGGTGGATTTAGGCTGGGAGTCTCTCTACATTTACAGGTGTGGGATTGGTCAGGATTAGGTCTGAGGTCCTTTTTATTGTAGCTTTAGAGGGACTGTACTCCTGTCCTTTATCCACACATGATTACTTCGTGAGAAGGGGTGAACTGGGGAGAAAAAGGCTTACAGAACATCTGTTATTTACTCAGGTTGAAGTATTTTAAGTGATTTTCTCTAGGGCTAGTAACTAGCATCGTAATTTCTCCCCACTCCTGAGGAATTTTTAGGAGTGCCTAGAGTAGGGGAGGGGGCCTATGGTATAAGACTTTATAGGGGAATATTTTGTTTTTCTTAGAGAGGGTGCCTCTAATTTTGAATAACACCAAGGGAAGTGCCTGCACTTGCTTTAATCTTGCTTTTTTTTTTTTTTTTTTTTTTGAGACGGAGTTTCGCTCTTGTTACCCAGGCTGGAGTGCAATGGCACGATCTCGGCTCACTGCAACCTCCGCCTCCTGGGTTCAGGCAATTCTCCTGCCTCAGCCTCCTGAGTAGCTGGGATTACAGGCACGCGCCACCATGCCCAGCTAATTTTTTGTATTTTTAGTAGAGACGGGGTTTCACCATGTTGACCAGGATGGTCTCGATCTCTTGACCTCGTGATCCACCCGCCTCAGCCTCCCAAAGTGCTGGGATTACAGGCTTGAGCCACCGCGCCCGGCTAATCTTGCTTTTTGACACACTTTTTTAAAGCTGTTTTTGATGGTTTGATTTATTTTTTTACTTTTTTGGAACTTTGAGGTTGGTAGGCAGCATGCAGTTTCTAGGTGATACTTAAGGCTGTTGCTGTTTTTTGGACTAAATGTTTTACAAATGCTGGTCTGTTGTTTGATCTGATGTGCAATGGCATTCTAAACTTAGGGATAAGATTTTGAAGCAGCACACGGATTACTTTATGGGCTCTTTTAGTCTTACTCAGAGTATGTATGCATTAGGACTAACAAATGCTTATGTTCTCTACACTTGGACATTTTAGTAAAGTTTACCTGGAGATCTTTAAACAGAGCTGCTTTGTAAGCTAGAGTGCCAGGGAGAATAGTTGGGACTCTGCCTTACGTTGTGTTGCCGACATGTAATGAATGCATTGCTGTACTACAGTTTTAGTTGAGGCTGATAAGTGTAAGATGTAAAAGTACTGACCCAGCATTTTTTTAAGTGACTTTTTTTTTTTTGTTTGTTTTTGAGACGGAGTTTCGCTCTTGTTCCCCAGGCTGGAGTGCAATGGCGCGATCTCGGCTCACCGCAATGTCCGCCTCCTGGGTTCAGGCAATTCTCCTGCCTCAGCCTCCTGAGTAGCTGGGATTACAGGCACGCACCACCACGCCCAGCTAATTTTTTGTATTTTTAGTAGAGACGGGGTTTCACCGTGTTGGCCAGGATGGTCTCGATCTCTTGACCTCGTGATCCACCCGACTTGGCCTCCCAAAGTGCTGGGATTACAGGCTTGAGCGACCACGCCCGGCCTTAAGTGACTTTTGACTTAAACGAGTGGTCTCATTT